GATTTTGCCAAAAGCTTATTTTCTATCCTCAAACACGGCACCGCACACGAGGCTTTCCTCCAAAAGTTCCTGAAAGGAAGTGGAATATTTCACCTCTGGAAATGATTTCAAACCCTCCTGCTTGATCTTCCACCACTCTTCCTTCTCTTTGCATTAGATGTAAAATCAGGAGAGTTTGGGGGATTTAAGCAAATACTGAAAAACGATGATCTGTAACAGATCGAGTGTCCCGAGGATTCACCGGAAAGTTAGTTTTCTTCTGTTATTGCCTAATCGGTGTTTAAATGAGAGCCATCCACATGATATATTCTCAGTCGGCCCTTAAATATTTACAATATTACTGTTTAGCTAGAACTGTATCTGCATGCCAACGGATTTTAAGGGGCTCCCTCGGGGTGTTGTGTTATTATATTACCAAATTTGCTCATACAATCGTGGAGATGGCCGACGCGGTAAAAAACGTTTCATAGATCGAACCCGGGTCTCATTTGGTCTTGACCACGTTTTATTTTATTCCAATGCAATTTAAATTAACTTTGTCGATTATTTATTTAATTATTCATTAAATCTCTCGTCAGTGATCATTTTCGATCGCTTGTTTTGTTTTGGGTTTTTTCTGAAGATGCGATCAAAGGTGATCTTTTTGTACACTTTAAGTCGACGGTCCTTGAGCTGGCTTGCTTTGCTTTTTTTATTACAGATCATTCTGAACTCCATGCACCGCTACCAGCCCAGGTTTCATGTGGTTTATGTGGATCCCCGGAAGGACAGCGAGAAATACGCAGAGGAGAATTACAAAACCTTTGTTTTTGAGGAAACCCGCTTCACAGCGGTCACAGCGTACCAGAACCACAGGGTAAGCGGCTTTTATGACCCTCCATCTAAATTCAAATACGGTCTGTCTTGCAAGAGAAGCCAGCAACTAAACGCACACAGAAACCGTGCGTTGTTCAAACATGATGCGCGCAGTACAGTTATGCCATGAATAACGCACCAGCACAGAGAGGTAATGTAAGCGTGTTGCGTTAAACCGAATTCAGTAACTAAAGACTTTAAAATGTGTATTTTTAACTACTGTTTAATCGAGGCTGTTTTATGCGTTTGCGTAAAAAAATAAAAATAATTCCGCTTTTTTCGCCCAAATGTTGCTTCTGCTCTGTGAGCTCAGCTTGCACCCCATCCCTGCGTGCTCCCTGCTCTGTTTTCCATCAGTCCCCGTGTCTGTTTAGATTCAAACATCAGTGCGCTCATCGCTTATTTGGAGCGACTCATAAAGACGATAGAAGGAACCTGGCTTCAGTTTTCCTTTCAGCTATTTACACCGAATCCAAGTGTGTGGGAGCCGCTGCGTGACGGTGATTAATAGTCCCGTTAGCTCACGGAGATAAGACACGGACTACAAACAAGCCGCTTCTGTTTTGATGCTGAATGTTTATGGCAAATGCTAAATAAATTACTTTTACGCACGAAGGCGCTCTGCGTCTTTTCGTAAGGATTCTTACTTCCATATAAAATGTAAATTGAGCTATAATAAAATGAAATATAATAAAATTATATGATGATGATCATTATGATAAGAAAGCTATTAAAGTGATATTAAAAATAATAACTGACACTTTTCTTACCCCACATGGAAACCTGTCCGTATATGACATTATATACAATAATATAATAATAATAGTAATAAAAGTAATGATAATAATAAATGAAATCTACATGATACTGTAGCCATCAAACCTGCATGTTTTATTTAAGACAGCTGTGTGTGTTATTATGACAGAGTGTTCTGTGAATTACACCTGACTTTCGCTGCTATCCTCTCTAATAAGTAAATGCTGTGATGTAAGCGGGAAAGGCGTTGTGTTTAGCGTTATGACTGATTTTATGCCGTCCTTTACTTTCAGATCACACAGCTGAAGATAGCCAGTAACCCCTTTGCAAAGGGCTTCAGGGACTGTGACCCAGAGGACTGGTGAGCTTTCCAATGAAATATATTAGGCCACCATTTTATTGGCATGTTTACACATGATTGTAAAAAGAAAATTGCACTGCAGAGCAGGCCGGGGCCAGAAAGCTTTTGCAAAATAGTTTAGTTGCTTGTTTAATGTCTCACATGGGGCAGCTGGGGTGGAGCTTGCCACATGAAAGAACACAAGGTGATGTAAATTTCAGAAATTACTGGATATTGTTTGAAGCTCAGCCAAGTGTGATTTTCTGTCACTAACAGATCATCAGACACTGGCATTTAAGACAAGGTAGCAAAACTCCACCCAAATGCTTTACTCAGACAACTTCAACAAATGGAAATACTGCTTCCATGTCTGGAAATGACTCAGATCACTTCATTTTTTAAAACCAGCAATGAGAAATTGCACCGAACTATAGAGGATTGTTTTTATTATTTAACAAAAAACATAATCGGAGTAACGTACGGCTGTTCCACATTTGTATTCTGTGTACATTTCATCCACGACATTAAAATGTGGATCATTTTAATACATAATAAAGAAACTGTGCCTTTGACATTCATTAAATGAGTAACTGAATCCACTCTCCCTGCTCCAGGCCCAGGAATCACAGACCAGGCTCTCTGCCAATAATGAGTGCCTTTGCCAGAACAAGAAACCCAATGTCATCTCCCCCTCAGCAGAACGGCACAGAGAAAGGTCTGCAGCTCGCTCTTTGTTTCATTTCAAAACTCACGCCTGCTATCAAACATGAAATATAGTCCTGAAAATTCATTCAGCATTTCTAAATAACATCTTTTATTTCAGCTGTCAGTATACTTCACTTCTTCTTTCATTTTCTTTTTTTTTTTCTTTCCCCACCTTATCCTTAACAGAAGCCCAGTGATGCATTTGCAGTATCAGGCCTAGTGATGGCTTTTAATTAAACATCAAATATCAGCCAGTCAATGTCATCCACTGCAAACATAATAGGGGTTCTTATGTGGTTTTATAACAGACCGCAGCGTCATACCGCAGTAAAGCAGGCAATGGAAATTAGATTTCTTTGACAAGGCGATGACAGACGTATTTATTAGTTCTATAATAAGAAATAAATCAATTAAATGTTTATAAAAGTGGGAGCTTCCTATTAGCTTTAAATGGTACATTTCATCTGAGAGAAATATAAGCTGGGAAGCTGCTGTCTGGAATTTATTCTGCAACATTTCGACTGAAATGCAGAATTTTTTATTTAAACAATAATGTGACAGACTTCTGTGTACACGTCATAGTTACCTAAACATTGCTTACACTTGTAAAAAATGCACTTATTTATTGAGCATTATATGCAATCTCTTAACACCTACAAGTCAAAAACACTGAGTATTCAAAAACTTGTACCTGCAGTAATTTATTGTGCTTTTGAGTGCAGAAACTATGAAAATATTGTTAGTGGTGGGTATTTGCATGTTGGCTGACTGATTGTCTCCCTACCTTCACAGAAGACAGTAGGCGGGAATATGAGCGAGACCCCAGCGGCACACCTATACACGCAGACCCGGCTCACCAGCTGATGTCCCGGGTCCTCAGCCCCGCCCTGCCCGTCCCAGGAGGCCTGCACGCCGTCCCGATCACAAGCGGCCGGCCCAGCCCTCCCCACGACCTTCGGCCAGATCCCCACCCTCTACCCCCGGACACCCTGCACCACCACCCCTACAAGTACCCCACCACCTATGAACACTACCTGGGAGCCAAGACCAGGCCGTCACCCTACCCTTTACCTAGTATCAGAGGACACACATACCATCACCACATGAACCCTGCCACAACTAACATGTATTCAGCCACCAGCGGCCCCTCTAACTATGACTATGGGCCCAGATAATGACTGCTGTCCACCAGGGCTAACAGCAAGCAGCACTGTGGGAATGGAAACAGACAGGAAACACAATCCTGCCTGTCGATGGCTTAAGCAACCTGCAGGGTGCAATCACGGGCTGAAACTCCTTTCTGCTGGATAAACCCTGCTGTATTTATTTAAAGGAAATGCATCTTTGCGTCAACAATGGGCATCTGTTCTAGGCCCCTGAAGAGGTCTGCTTTGACCTTTGAACTGAAAATGGCAATAGGTCTACATCAGGCCACCTCCTACCTGAGCAGTGCAGACATTGAGCCAGCAAAGTGAGGACAGAGGAGAGACCTCAACTTAACACAGACTTTCATCACAGACTGGAATTGATTTTTTTTTTTGTGTGTGTGTTGGATGCACTTTTTGATTTGCCTTGTTTTTATTGCTTTCAAAAAAGCCATATGTTATATAGTCCATCAGCCTTTCTAGGTAGACGAGACGTTTGCATGTCATCAGAGAGAGAGAGGGTGTGTCGAAACACATTGAAATGTTTTTGTTTGAGGAAAAAAAAACAAGAAAAAAAACGTCAAGATTTGATTTTTGAAACACTCTTGAGCCGCTCTGAGAAGCTTGTACCATGGCACTGACTTGCAGCAATTCAAAGTAAATAAATGAAGCAGAATGACTGTTCTGTATCTATAAAATAAACATTAAATTCTTGTAATTCATAAAAACGGGGGTATTTGTGCCAGTCTTCCACTCACATACTGAAGAGGGTTTCCTCTCTATCAGCATTGTTCAAGTTTCTCCAACCGGATTTGCCCTGTTGAAATAGGCCGAGGTGTCCCCCGCTGCTGTTTCAGTCACTGGCAGGCATGACTTGGAAGCTGTGTAAACATAAGAGCCCTTTATAGTTCAAAATGTTAAAATCTGCACCTGGATTCATAAAAACACACACTCACACACAAATGCATTCATCAACCACACATCTTACATATCCTCAAGAGTAAATAGGCTCTGTTCACATTACTGCAGTTTAGTAGTTTAATGCATTAAATTTATTGCAAGGCGGCAGTAAAAGTCTTTAAAAATTAAAACCTTTTTTGTACTATTGATACAACAAGATACAAATTGCATATGTGTGACTCATAGACAATGAATTTTGAATGTCATGCTATTATTACAACTTATTTTCTCTAACAGTAACTTATAAAGTAATTTTCATGTTTTCAGGCACTTACTTATCAAAACATAGAAAATAAATTGTATGAGGCACAAACAGGCCAAAACAAAACCTCCACATTTGTCGTTTTCCCGTCAAAAGGATATCATTGCTCATGTATAATAGGACAGTGGGGCGATATTTTGAGAATGTGACCCTCCTCTTATCTGTGCGGTCATTTCCATCTCCTATTTGAAGCCCTCTGAGGAATGCTTTGTTGTCAAGGTTAATCTGGCTGAAATGGGGGAAATTCTGCTTTGGGATTTGTGCCTGTCACCATACAAAAGGAAACGTAAACTAATGATTCATTTCAATAATGTATTTTTTCTCTCTCTCTCGAAGCCGGCCGTCATTTAGCAGAGGGGGATGCCCGAGGGCGCCTGGCCTGACTGTTTAATGGCTTGTAAAGGTGACAGAGGTTAAATAATGTTTCCACTCATTTAAACGCTAATTAGATGTATAATTGTTTTCGCTTGTTTGGATGGGGACTAAATTTTAAAGTTATTGCGTTTGCAACAAAGGTTTATACACAGGCCGTTTCGTTAGAAAGCTAATTAGGACCCGGATGTGTAATAGTTTTATGCTAGCTGCCCAACACTAGCAAAAGAAAAGCTGATTTGGTTTTTTAACAAACAAAAATACACATTCACACAGCATGCTACTCTACCTATGTATGTGTATTATTTACATTCACAAGGTATAGTTTTAATTTTAGAAACGGTAGAGGCCTTTTTCTCGCGCGCGTGTGTGTGGTGTTGCATTACCTACCTAACGGTTTAACTGTTAAATTTCTTCCACATGGAGTCACAATGCATCACTAAAAACGATTTAAAAAATATTTATTTTTTTACAAAAAGAAAAGCAAAGCAAATATGTTACCCGGCATCAAAAAATAATTCACAAAATTTTTTAATTATTATTTATTTTATTTTCTTTCATGCGTGTCCAGTAGGGATAAGCAGCGGTCTGGAGGCGTAAAGCCATTCGGTGTGAGCTGAATCCGGCCGGCGGTTGTTGAAGACCAGCCAGGTAGTAGGAGTTTGTTCCATAGACTGCATATGTACCCCCGGGACACGTGATAAGGTTAGGCGAGGGTAACTAGTCGGTTAGAAAGGGTCAAAAGGGTATATTGGGACTAATTATAGGTTTCACAGCACAGAAGGCACATCAGTGACTGTGCTAATAGACGTGGTAGTGCGGTGAAACTAGTTTAAGTAACTCTGACCCCCAAGGTCAGTGACCACACACACAAAAAAAAACTTTGACAGTCACAAGACATTTATTAAATTTCTCCTCATAAATAATATCAATAGAACTATGATGTCCATAAAGTTTTCAACTGCATCTAATTTATTTATGCATCTTATTTTTTTTAACTGAGTTTTAACAATGTCTTTACATTTTCAAACACATCTTAAAATACACTGTAAAAGAGTTTTCAGTTAATTCAGAGTTTTAAAAAGGTAATAAAGAGGTATTAATTTTTATTTTATTAAAAAATAAAATAAAAATACCACAAAAGTGTTTTACATTTCCATTTCTGCAGATATGGTACTAATAAAAAATAGTACATAAAAACTTTCAAACCGACTTCTAAGAAAATCACTCAAAGTCAGCAAAAAGTATTTAAACTATCTAAACACTAACGACTGACAGTATACACAGGCTTTATACATATTAGTCTTTTTTACAGTCTGCATGCAGCTGACTTGTTCTATTATAAAGGCCTATGAAGTTCTGAATAAGCATGTTAAGATACTGCTACTTTGTCTGCTTTTGGCTAGTTTAAGCTATGAAAATGCATCAGAAAACCCAACTATATAAATAAAGTTGTAAAATAAATGTAGCAGAGTTCAGGTCAGTATTTATTTATGAAGTGCAACAGAGTGTAATGTAAGATGAAATGCTAAAGTAATAAAATGTCAACATTTCAGTTACAATACTGCTATTTTCTTCAGGCCTTCCCTATTCGTAGCTGTTTAATTTATACCAAACTGTGCACAACAATGAAAAGATTCTTTATATGCTGCACACTCAGACACAGTCCTTAGTGAATGGGTGTCCCTGGTATAATATATGCATCAGTCTAGACCTGACATTGAAAGCCTCAGGCTGTGGAAAATTGGGGAAATTGCGCCTACTGGAGAAACTGTGATGAATTACACATCAGTATGAACTAAACATAATCAGTATGGTCGCAGCATTCAAAGATGTATTCACATACATATTGTGCGTTACATTTCCACTCATGCACATGAAATGGCACTGCCACGCTTTCCAAAGGCCTCGGCCATTTTAAAAGTCAATATTTCAGTGTCATTTGCACAAATCTACTTAAACTGTGTAACCGTCGATGTGCCTCGATTCGTCATGCCAGCAGGGACAGGAAGCAGAGGAGCTCCCACATTAAAAGAGCTAAGATGGACGATGCCGCCACCCGAAACATCATTTGACACTCAGCTGCATCTGGAACATCTGCTGTGACGGGCCCGTCGGGGCGGCGTTCGCTTCACCTCGGCGTGCGGAACCCTCCTGCGATATCTGGGGACACTTATTGAAAGCGATCCAGGTAAACTAGCTGCAGTCCGCCACCTAAACAACAGAACACACGCTTTGCATATTTGTCCCTACGACAGCCTCTCAACCAGCCCGAGACCTGCTACGATTTATCCTATGTGTGATATTGCTGACGGACATTTTATGTGGAGCATCAAAACAAATCCCCACCACACAGCGAGAGCCTAGATACATTTGTATTAATTCACATATGAAAAAACAAATAAAACCAACTTAGCCGTGAGGTAAAACATTGATCTTGGCTTGTGGGCAACGGGTTATTTTCTTTTGGACGCTCTTTTTCACAATGTCTAAATAATCAGTCTCAGTGTGACATCTGAGCTAGTAATATAATCCATGAAGGCTTAGGGAGAGACTGCATTGACTGCGCACACACACGTGCACCCTAACGGATTATGTCCCATCCCTAAACCAGGCTGACCTCTGACCTTAAGGGCCAAGGAAGACACATGTTAGGTGATAAGTGAAGCACAAGGCCTATTGTGCAGACAGTCTCTCTTCCCCGTTTATTGACTTCCTAAATGATCCATTATGGAGTGATTTACGAGGTTTACCGCCATACAGCCGGGTACTTGTGAAGCTACTGGGTTGTTGTCTGCTCCGTTCAGCAGACATCTACACCAATAGGACCAAGCATTTGATTTATCCGAGAATGGACGGAAGCTTACCCACATCACCTCCAGTGTTTGTTCAAAGCCAACAAAGGAGTTAGGAAGACATTATGAATGCAAGGTGTCACAGGAAGTGTAGGGACAAGACGTATACTCTGCGGGGGATACTAAAAAAAATAAAAAAGGTGAGAGACAGTTTATACATGGACTTTTAAGTGAAATAAAAGCTTTCAACTAATTTAAAGTTCAGGTACAATTTTGGCAGCAGCTTCACAGAAAGCTTGTCTCAATAATGACCTTGTCTTTTCTGTGCTGGCTAATGATTCAAGGCCATTGTGCTGCTCTGGCTCTTTGATTTCTCAGGCCTTTCCTGTACACCATGACGAGCTTCTCAACTTGGGATCATCCCCGGAGCCAAAGTCGTTACGAAGCAGAACGTCTGGTGTTTGAAGCTCTGACCCCCCCCCCCTTCCGACCTCTCGGCACGGTGTAGTAACATATGAGCTCCCACGATGCTCGTCGACTCTCAGATATATTGCGAAAGAATGAAAAGAAAAACAACACATCTTGATTTTCCTTTAAGACCCTTAACCTTCTTGACAAATGTCAACTTCTTTAAAGGACGTCTGCATTCGGCATTACAAATCTAAATGCTAACAACTGTCACACAGTAAATTAAACAGAACCTTTGCTTAATTTTCAACTTGACACGTTTCGACACGAGCGCTACAGGAGTTCACATTTAATAGTTTATCTCAAAGAAGGTATACTTCTTATAAAATTGAGCTCATAAACTGATTATGCAGATCAGGGAAAGCAACACCAAACCACCATCCTTCTGTTCTGCCCCCCCCACGCCGTGATTTACTTTTGTTTGACAAACACAGCTCAGGTCAGACTGCAAGGCCTGTGTGCTAAACTAAAGCCTGCTAGAATAACAACATGGGATTACGTAGCTGCTCAGGTGCGGCGTATACCTTAAATTCAAGTCCACTGAAGCAAATCTCCTTTCAGATAAGTCAACACAATCACATAGCTGCATGGAGCAGTTAAAAGTCATCAGGAATTCCAGTCAGCTTAATAAAAATGGAAATAACGGTGGTTCAGCTCTGACATGATATATTTTAAAAAAAAAAATTAAAAAAGCACACTAAAATATAATGAGTGAAAATAAAGATTTGATTTTATTTTGGAGACCAAAATACTTTCTTTGTATTTTCACATTGACCCCTTCCTCGCTATTCTCAGAGACAAATAAAAACATAATCAGTATATATACATCAGAACATACCAATACAACTTTGATAAGACGCTTCAGTTGGTCTAACTTGTAAAGACTGAACATGGAAATCAGTTGTGATCATGTATTCACCGGCATCTTCCGACCATGAAGAGGATCCTTTATTTAATCTGTATCAAAAAGAATTGAAGTGCTTTAATTCTGCAGCTGTACAGCGCTAAGGAGTGAAACACATACTGTTAGAAAGAGCAGACTCCTGAGTTTCACGTGGTTGTCGGTAGGTAGCTGCAGCGACTCCAGACATGCTTGCAAAAGTACGGGATGAGTTTGACTATCACACAAACATATGCCGTGCATCTGGAGGGGGTATTTGTGAACGATGTAAGTTTTGCATGTAAAACTTTATATTTATCCATGTATTTTAAAATTTACCACAAGCTTCTATGTCCATTACTTTTAAAAATACAGCCCTTTGGGATCATGTTGTTCTTAGTGATAAACCCCCCATGTTATAATGTTCATAGTTCAACTGTAATGTCAGTACATGAGAAGCACAATCTATTTCCATATTGTATCAGCACACATGATTGTAGTATTGATCATAAATCTGAAAATCTTCTCAGAGCTCAGTGACTCAGCCTGTGTCCGCTCCCTCGTTGTAAACTGACCAGAGGCTGATTCGCTGGTCCTTTGATCCGGCAGCCAGGACTCTTTGTCTGGGGTCCCGGTGGTCAGAGAAAGCTACACTGAGCACCATGTCTGTGTGGTACTGTAGTACCGCCAGCGGCCGGAGCTTCTTCCAGCCAAATACTCTTATCCGGTGGTCCCAACCTGCTGAAGCCAGAAGTTTATGATCCATGCGGATACACAGCTGGGAAACCCCGGGGTTGACCAGCGTCACGCAGTCCTGCAGCTGTAAGAAAGAAAAAGGAGAAATATCTGAACAGGTGACCGCGTGCTACAAAAACACAACTACAAAGGCATTCTCGTATGTATTCCAAGCCTCGTGCTTGGATGGGATGTAGCTAACTGTAAATGTAACACAAAATAACCCATTTTTCATGCAAATAGAGGCAAGAAAAAAAACAGACATACTTAATAGATCAGTAAGTCAATTAATCACTACCGGCTGGGAAAATGTGGCCAAGGCAAACACCGACAATGAAGGGCTATCAGCTGATCTGATGACTGAGGTCCAAGTGTGAGGCTGGAGGTCTGTTGAACCTGGCTGCATACTCCTGGGACTCAATCATCATCCATAAAACATTAGGGCACGAGGGCCGCGAGTAAATCTCTCGGCGACCCATTATTTGGTTTGGAGTTAGGGAGGCGTATTCTGTAAGCGAGTTACCTGTGTCGCCGTTTGGAAGAAAGCGAGAGACCATCTCGCTGAAATGCTTGTTTGCAGAGACCGTGTTGCTTTAAGCACCTCTGATGAATTACATTCACACTGAAAGGTCTGATCAGCGGAGAGAGACCTGATAAATACACTGCTGTAACATCTGCCTGCTAAAGATTAGCCACAGCCCCCTCTCCCTGTGATCAACAGCGTCCCACAGACTGTATCCATCTCTCTAAATGCGCAACATTCTGACAAATGAAAATGAATGGTGGCTAAGATGGTGCTCTGAAGGGCCCCAGTGTTGTGGGCATTCCTGGAGAAGCGAACGTGCTTTTCCTGAAGGGTAGGGATCTCCACCGGATCGCTATACGGGACCTAAACATCTGGCTGTGGGAGCTGAAATCAAACTGGACAGCGTAAAATTGACTTCATAAGTTGTGTCTAGGGAGACTAATGGTTTGGATGGGGAGGAGATGTTGGGAGAATTTATCTGCGTGCTCCTGTTCTGGGCAGGAACCATCCGCAAGCTGCATGTGGAAGACATAAGCCAGGTACTCATAGCCCAAGTGGATAAAGTGGAATGCAAGGGAGAGAAGGAGCAGGGAGGAATGTCATTGATCATAACGGCAAGAAAAGCCAAGTTTAGAAGAGACAGTGATACCATTTCACTTTTTTTCTTTTGTTAGTCAAACCATCATCGCGAGGATGAAACCGTGTGCCCACTTCGCCCAACAGAGCCAAATACACAAATACAAAGCAAACTAAGGGGTGAAAGATTGTTCTGAGCTTTGTTATTACCTCAGGTATTTGGTATGCCCCTACCTCTGTCCATCTGGTTTGCATTAGAGTCCTGATAATGATGGGTTTAAGTGTCTGTTTTTGTTTGTTTTGCTTCCCATAGTTTGTGTCAGGAAAAGGCATTTGTTTCATTAAGGGGTCAATTGCAGGCAGTAAATGGCTAATGAAGTAGTGATGGTCATTCAGCAAGGCTGCCTCGTTAATTGTTTTTACTTTCTGTCTGAGAAAGTGGAGAGGAAAAAGCAGTAAAAGGAAAAAAATGGCTGCCTTGTGCTATAATTTAGAATGAGCGATGCTCATGTGAAGCTCTGCTGGTTCCTGAGCTGCCGGCCATCAGTGTCGAGTCGCGAGGTGCCGGAGCTTGGACTGAAACAATCAGCTGACTGACTGAGAAGTAAAAGAGAAATAAAACTGTGAGATTCAATTAGCTGCCAATTTATCAATTCTAAACTTAAAGAAAAACCCAGGCCGGTTTTATTTTATTGCAATTCATTTTGTGCAGGCCTCACTTTGGGGTTAACTCTTAATTGCACTTTACCTACTAATTTATCAGTAAATCACAACTTCCTGACAGGAAATGGGAGTTGCAGCCTAAAAGTCATATTAATTTTGATCATATAGATCAGCGGTCCCCAACCCCCGGGCTTCGGACCGGTACCGGTCCGTGAGTCGTTTGGTACCGGGCCGCGAGAGTTGAGGCTCAGGTGTGAAATGTATAGTTTTCAGGGTTTTTATCG